ATCGAGAAAACAGCTGAGCGTTGGGTGGTTCTTTTGGCGGAGCGAACCAGTTGGGTGGTTCTTTTGGCGGAGTGAACCAGATGGGTGGTTGTTGCACGGGAGCGACGTAATACTCACTTTGCCTATATTTTTTGTGGCAAGGATATGTGTTACAGGGCTGCCTTGGGACATGACGGTGACCGGGGTGACCAGAGGCGACAGGGAAGGGTGCGTCGACACGACGTGGGTCACATGGCCGGGTAAGGATGCCGACCCTGGGTGCACCGCTGAGGTGAGGAGATGTCCGTTAGCTTCTGAAAAAGGGAAAAGAAAATCATAACCTGCATACATGTAGAAAAGAAGACAGAGTAAAACGATCATGTCTTTCGTATCGTGCCTCCCGAGCGCCTTATGAGCTCCGGGTAGGCAGCCCGCCCGGTACGCATGTGCGGCGGGCTAGCCCACCCCGTAGCTCCCTCTCGAGGCGGCGCTCGACCCGCTGACGCCGCCAGCCGCCAGCTGAACCCACCCCGCGCCCCGCGTGCCTACAAGCAGGCTGCCCTTACCGTTGGGCAGCTGCAGCCCCTTGGTGAGCACGCCCACGCCCGTGGTTGGCCTTATGCCCTCCGGGGAAACGGAGCCAGTCTTGTGGAAACCCTCGCCCACGATGGTGCCTGTCGCACCCACCAACACCTTGTTGGCGTGCAAGGGGTGCACCGTGGGCATGGTGATGGCGGCTGTTGCCGTTGAGACGGCCGCCGAGACGCCCCTGGAGTGGGGCGGGGCAGGCGCTGGAGGCACCGTGCCGCCCCCCAAGCTCCCGGATCCGTTGATGCGTCACCAATGGGGTGGCGCCGTTGCCTGGAGACAGAGCAACGCCGCCTACGCTTAGACCAGCTGCCGTCACACGACAGAATATAGGCGTGTTTGTAGGCGGTCGTCCTTAGACTGACTTAAGCTTAGCATCATCCATCCTTTACGAACGTATTCGTCCATTTATTTTAGGAATGACCCGGGAGCCCTAGCTATAGCTAGGGGTCGTCGGGGAACGTCCACGTATCATGGAACGCTTTCGAGGGGTAGGGGGTCGAAGCTGAAAGGGTTGGTTAGCCGCGTTGTGCAGGGAGCGAGGGAGCGAGGGGGTCGAAAAAGCCTCAAATATGCTTGACGTAACATGTGGACGACCCCTTAGTTGGTCGGGGTGGCCTCGCGACCGACACTGGCGACACACAGCAGCCAGTAGGGTGTTCTAGAAACTGGGGGGCGTTCTACGCGGTCGAGCGTTGAACAAAATGGGGTGTAACTGTGGGAATCACAACATCGGCCGAACCACGAACTGCTCCTCTTTTCGGGGAAATGATGCGTCCAGCCCGACGTGTCTCCTGCCCCTCCCCCTCGCGCCCTCCCCTCCCCCTCCCCCTCCCTCCGCGGGGCCCGCGGCGCGGCCGGCGCGGCCCTGGTGCCGGCGGGAAGCGCGGGGGGCGGGAGAGTCTGCCACGCGCTAGCCTGGCTTGAAGCAGCCTGAAGCTGGCACTCGGACACTCGGGCTGGCCTGGCCTGACTCTGCCTGACTCCGCTCAGCTCGGCACACAGTGCCGCCTCGCACCGCCCGGGCCGCACGTCGCACGCGTCTCGCCGCTCACCGCCACACACACCGACATGACGGCGCCCACGACGAGGATGTTGCACCTCGCCGTCGTCGCCCTGGCCCTCGTCGCCCACAGCGCGCGTCGCCGCTCAAGGAGGTAAGCGAAGCGCGGTCTGGCCGCGGACACAACCCACCTCTCAGGGGCGGGCCCAGGAAGGACCCTGGGGGTGCGGGAGGGTGTTGTTGTGGGGCTGTGCAGCGCAGCGCCGCTGGGACGACTGCGCGCGATGTGTTTGGGTCGGTTTGGGTCCATCCAGCGCTATCTCTCGCCTCCGATTGACGATACGAGAGGGAGGGCCAAGGGGGGAGGGGAAGACCACACCATGGCCGTGCTCCACATATCTTGGCAAAAAAGGCAAAGCGCTTGGTGTGCAGTATATTACCGCGAGTTCTGCAAAGTTTCACTGTTTCCACAATTTGGCTTAATCGTACGACTATTTTGCTTTGTGGTAGCCCCTCTCGAATCGTATGGCCAAGCTGGCCAAACGTAACGTACACGTAGAATCTGTGAAGACTGCACGGGGGTATTCGGGGCTGGGCTGCCCAGCGTGGACAGGCCGTTGTCCTTGGGGTTATCCGAGCTGACAGAAAGTACTAACTAAAGAGTGTGTCGTTGTGTCGTAATTTCACCTTGGAAGGCAGGTTTGTCAACGTGATGCGTATGAGCGTGTATGCTGCTGTTGACGTCATTCGTGGTTTTGACATCAACATGGGGTAATACTTTATTTCCCCCTGACTTCTCCAAAAGACGAAAGAAGAAATGTGCAGATTTTAGACAGAGGTAAGACGTGGGTTCATGGGTTCAAGGTGACATCCAAGAAAGATACGGAGTGAGATGAGTGAGATCAGATCTCGTCTGACCGGACAGGATTGCAGACAACAACACTGGCTGGCAAAAAGACGCGCTTAACTTTACAGAAGACAATAAAACACGTCTTTACACAAACATTGTTTTACAAAACTGTACAGTGACATCCTTTCAAACCCCGTGATATCAGATACATTATCAATGCGTTGTGTAATCCCAGTATTTCGGTGCTTCTCTAACATAATTTTATACTAGGCCTTCTAAAAAAGGGGTGGCCTCTTCCCGTATTTGAAAAACAAACACAGTGTAGATAGTAATTAAAAGAAAATAGTCTCGGGGAAAACCCAGAGTTTGCGTCTTGCGAGATGAGTGAGTGGAGCGTCCGCAGCAGCCTCCCCCCTCCCCTTTCCACCTTCCAGCTCTGCTCCGGGGCCTTCCGCAAATACAACCGACCCGACAACGGCGAGAACCTCTCGACCTTACTCTCGACGGGCGTGTCCTTCTCCGCGGGTGAAAAACTTAGAGGGGGGGGGG